GCAGATATTGGACGGAGGAGTCAAGGTGTTTTTTTTTTTTTGACGCCCTAATCAGGGTGTTCTCAGGGTCCATGTTTCTTCCAAGCACATGAACACACACCGAAGTCCGAACAAGGACCTTATAACTCTGGAAAATAGATGTGAACGATTTCTGGAATTGTTAGATGAAGAAGTGAGGACTCTAACTTAAAATGACGAGGTTACAGAGTAAATCATTACTCTGCTTTATTCTGTCACGTTTTATCTTCATCTTTTCTACAGTGTGTGTGTGTGTGTGTGTGTGGATGGTATTTGTCAGTAGTGCACATAGTGAGAGCATGTGCTGACTTTAAAAGACTCGACGTCTCAGCACCTGGCGAGCTAACTGTTGAGTCACTGTTATTGATCAGTACCCAGATTGCCACCACAGATTTATTTTGATCTCTTTTTTTTGTTGCACTATTGGACAGTAAAGGTCTCAATTCATTGCACCTTTGAAACCTCCCAGATTTAATTTGATTGTGCCGATAATTGGATTTTATTTTCCGCAGGTAACACTGCAGGCCTGGTAGTTGGATACGCAGCGATCAGTGCAGCCCCTGAAGTCCTGTCCGTTTGATTCAGTCCATCCACTCCACTCAAAAACTCTAATTAGGACAAGAACAGCGTGTTATTCCAGACCAGAGAACAGATACAATATTCCTCTAAGGAATCCTAATCATTCCCTGAGGCGTTTTTTAAAAAATCTCTAGTTTTACTACCAGATATTTTTGGTTGCTTGTGCTCTGCTTTGTTTTCATAAGAGAATATCTGAAAATTCAATGCAGATGGTTTTTGCGTTCTCACAGTCGTCTCTGTCCGTCTCTCTCTGGATGTCAGATACTTACCTATGAGACATTAGAGCAGCTTTTCTCGCCCTGCACAACATTTAGGCAATTTTCCACCCACCACACACCCACACACACACACACACATCATGCACACTCAGCCCTTGCACTTCATTGAGTGTGCTCCTCAGTCAGCACCAGGGGGAGTTGTGAGGTCAGTAATAATTCGAGGTGATGGAGTGAGGAGAGAAGGTGCCTTATTATACACAGGTTCAGATGCACTCTGAGCTGATGCCAAAGCTGCAACAGAGCTGCATCTGTTTACAACTTCATCCTGCATCTTACTCACACACACACACACACACACACACACACACACAGTGAACACATCCAGCTCTCTGAGGTCAATTTACATGAAGAGAAAAGCTTTATTTTGAAAGATGTAGTGAAGCAGCACGTCCTGTCAGCCACAACATGCGCATATTTACATTTACGAGTCAATCACTTGTTTTTCTTTACAGAAAAATATATTGAACGTGTGAAATTACGAAAGTCAGAAAAAATTAAGCCTTTAATCATTTAAACCTATAAACTGACACGTGTCATAGATCTTGATTATGCTTTGGTACACACACAAATATTAAAACTCAACCCATAAGGAGTTACATAAATATTATACCTGTGTTTTACTGTCTGGCCGACAGGAAGAGTTACACTTATAAACAATATAATATATCTGCTAACACCTGCATTATACTGTGTATGAAATATCTATACAGTACTTATACATATGAGAACATAAAATAAAGCTTTGCCAGTTAAATGAGTTCAAATCAATGTTCAGATTCTCTCCAGTTCCGGTGTCGTAGTTTTGCCTGAGGTCAATTTGGACCGATGATTTAAAATCCACTGGATTTAAAAGAAGTTGAGTGAACAGAGAAATCAGGAGGCAGGAGAGCATCTCTCTCATAAACACACAGCTACCACCTCCGTCCACACACAAACACGCAGCACAGTCACCAAACAAAAGTCTTGTCCTTGGCAGCGCTGTGGAGGCGTCTGCAGGAAGGAGGAGGGACGTGATGCAGCGTGTGCAGGGCCTCGGCCAGTCAGTTTTTTTTTTTTTTTGCATGCGACACGATGATCTACCAGGAGCGTGTTTCTGTCGGTAACCGTGATCACGAGCTCGCACGGTAGCAGATGGAGCGGCAGAGGCGGCGAGGGGAGGCGGAGGAGGGGAGCGGAGTGTGACTGAGTGTGTTTGTGGATGTCGTTAGTCCTGTTATCACTGTGTTTACGTCGTGTTGATAAAAAGCGAGAGGATTCTGTTTCACAGCTCGACACCAATGACCCATGACTCAAATCTGTGATGTCAGCATCAGCTCGGAGCTGTTTTATATGTGGCCTCGTATAAAAACTGGTTTGAGCTCTCGCGCCCCAAAGGTGATAGGTTTTTTTTTATTTATTGTAGTTTTAAGAGTTACGAAGCAGAAAATCGTTCCGGGCACTGAAACCATCACCTCATCCATCATTTCCAAATTGATTCCCAGTAGACTTTAATGTGACATTACAGTGCAGGTCTTCTCTTCTTATGGCTGCTGAAGTAAGATGCACTCTGGGAAATCTCCTGCTGGTTTGAATGTCTCTGTAGTATTGTTTTGTTTTAGCTGGCTGCAGCACAAATGAGCTATTTTTAGTACCATAATATTGACATGTACTTGAAAGTCTCACCTGCCCTCCCCAGGTTCCAGTTTATGTGATTAGCATATCAATGCAGCGCAGGCACGGATGTGATGTGTTTTCAGCTGCGCAATTAATAAATCAATTTTCAATGCGGATGCACTCATTTTAAGAGGAATTACCAGCGACTCAGGAAATGACTAACGATGTGTCCTACTCCGAATACGAGATTAATCAGCTATGGCTGGTGTTCATTAAGGACAAACCGCATTAGCAACAGTGATGCATTTCAGCAGAGATTTCCTGAAGGAAGCGGCACCTCAGAGGACGTGGCAGACGCTCTGTTCGAGTCCTCGCAGCCTGCAGGACGCTGGGGAGCCTGGAGTCCCTGGAGGCCGCAAGGGCAGACGGAGGAGCAGTTGGATGAACTGCGGCTGCTGCCTAAATATTCCACTGTCACTGCAGAGGGTCCTGCTCGTGGTGCAGTGCTGAGTGAACGCAAAGCAGGAATATAAAAAAGTACTGAAAGCACAGTTTTGAGTTACTTGTTCTCAACTTGTAACTTTGATATTTGAGAGGACTTAGACCTCGAACAGAGAAGTTCAGTGTGGAAATGTGCTTTTCAGCTCTCGATCAATCAAGTTAGCTTGTTCGTCAGTAGGATTACGCAAAAAAACACACAAAACTTGGTGGAAGGAAAAGAAAAAAGCTAAGAGAGAAGTCTGACACATTTTGAGGCAGATCTGGACAAAGAGGCACATCCATGAATCCTTTATCACTTTCTTAGATATTGTGGGATAGAGAGGTTTTGACATTTTTTATGATTATCCAGAAAGTGATGTATTTATCTTCATGAAAAACATCAGGTTACTTGCTAACTTACTTACTTTAGATATTTAGATATTATATAAGTTCCTTTCTCTACTGCAGCCCGTAACTGCTTGTAAATTTCTTATTTTTTTTTGGTTTAATTAATTCCTCAACCACTGGATCCCAGTGAAAAATAAATTGCGCCTCGCTAATAAAAAATGTTCCATGGAAACGATTCATTCAGACTGATTATGCGGATCTTTCCCTGCCGGTGGAGCTTCCCTGCAGTCGCAGACGTTGATTAATCAGTTTTTTGGACCATGAACAGAAAAGTACTTAAATCCACGTTGGGAGACTTTTTTCTTTTCCTTCAGCATCACGTCACTGGCTGTGTCTTTTTCAATATTACAGTGTCTAGAACCTGACTCCTGAGATGAATGGGCTGACTCACTTGGTTCGTCTCATTTTTCAACAAACAAAAACACTTTTCTTCAGAATTATTTTAACGATGCCACAAAAACCGTAAAACACTGACCTTCAAATGTCAAAATGTTTTTCAGTGAACTAAGTATACATATATTTTTAACACATCATCACTGAAGTGCATGTACAAAGACAAGTTATTGCCTTTGACACACTGGAAAAATGACACAAAGCAATAAAGATGGGGGATGACTGATTAATTAGTGATGCTCATGTCGGTGTTTTCCATCTCGCTGCGGGGGCAGATGGGTGTTTATGTTTCTGCGATCCATCTGAGCCATTCGCTCGTGTAATCTAAACAAGATTTCCAAAGATACCGACTCGCTTCCCCTCATGTGTAGGAGGAGAGGCCTTGAGCCACGGGCCATCCCCGAACTGTTGAAGGAAAGAAACGAGGATTCGCCTTTTTAAGTCTCAACAGGTAGAAAAAATAGCACCTGGCCGAGGCCAAACAGATTAAGTGGATTTATGTGCAGCACTATTTAAGTAACGGAGGGAAGAGTCACAGGTTGAACGCTTGTACAGATGTTTACTGAGTAAGAGAAGGAACAAGACTCCAGAGAGATCCAAGGCGACAGCAGAGCTCTTAAGGTACGTCTCCGGTTCAGGACTGATGATTACATTATAGTTATATAAATCTATCGCATCTTCATACTGTATGTAGAGGGTGTTTAAAGGAATTGTTTGTTCTGATAACTATGAGTTAAAGTTTTTCTTGGCACTGAGGATGAAACCTCAGAAAGTTTTTCTTAATATGTAAATTCTTCTAATCTTCTTATGATTCATTCTTCTGTAACTGTTTCTTTAGAGATGCAGCTTGATGGATGTTTTAACCACACTCACTGCACTTCAATAAAAATTTACATTTTCATCCTGTTTTATCCTGGCAGATATTTTTTTAGTTTTGATTCTCTGCTTTAAAGGAGAGATGCATCTCTGAGGTTTCTCCGCTCATTTGTGGTGTTCATGGTGTCAAAAACACACAGAAATGTAATTTCTTCTCACTCTTTACCTTGAAAACGAAATGTTTGTCAGGAGTTTGACAACTTTTGGACCTCAACCTTAAATCTGAGACGTGATTGAAACATCAAGCTACTTAATTTATTTGATTTATAAGAAAAAAAAACCATCACTGTCTCTCTTAAATCCACATTAACGTCCGTGGATCCTCTGACACGTTTTCAAATGTGTGATGTGAGACCTGCTCCCCTCTCGTGGCAGACGTCTGTGCTGCACCCAGCAGAGGATGAAGCTGGTCGTCATGGCAGCCGTGCTGGCAGTGGCGGGGGCGGGGCAGGGCTGCAGCTTCGACTGTCGTCCAACCAACATCAGCATCCCCGTGGAGAGCTGCGGCAGCACCGAGTACATCTCCACCACCGTGTGTGCAGGACAGTGCTACTACGAGGTAACGCACGACTCCAGCTCCGCCTCTGACTCGTTCATAAAGAGACGTGTGCACGTTTGATCGTCTTACGCACACGAGCAGGTGAAGCTCTGCACTGATGACTCTTCAAGTCGACACACGATGAATATTATCATGAGGTCGAAAGCACGATTCCTTTCTTTCTAGTCGCAGCGCCGATAAGCTCCAGTAAGTCAGTGAAGCTGAAGTGTATAAAAACATAGACGTTGTTAAAAACCAGTGTTCATCTCCAACATTCAACCAGGAAACTTCTAAAACATGAAGAGTTTTAAACAGATTTATTTTTATTAGAACAAATCACCACGTCTTGGGATAATAACTTTCTTTCAGTTTCATGTTTTATTCCCCACTCAGTGATTTTAATTGTAAAATTAGTCTAATTTATATTTGTTCATTTGTTGTATTATTGTATTTGTGTTTCATTAGTCTTTCTATTCGATCTGTGTGTTTATCATCTACTACACTAACCTGCACTGGGTCGTTTCATTGATTCATGTGTGCATCCTGTTTGAGGTTCAGGTTCATTTCTTATGAGGTGTTTATAATTTCAGAAGCACCTTCATCAGAGTTTGTGGTTCCTTCACCTTTTGTTTTCCTCTGGAGTCATTGTGTGTTATTGTGTTTGTGTGTGTCGACGACAGGATCCGGTCTACATCAGCGAAACAGGTCCGGCTAAACAGAGGATCTGTAACGGTGACTGGTCGTATGAGGCGAAGCACATTAATGGATGTCCGGTGGCTGTCACCTACCCTGTGGCCAGACACTGCCACTGTACTGTGTGTAACCCAGGGAACACTGACTGCGGACGCTTTCCCGGAGACATACCCAGCTGTCTGCCCTTCTGAGGAACCCACCCGTCCACTCTTCAGTTTACGTTCTCCCTTCGTTGACACTGGACTGAAATAAAAGCTCAGGTTTTTGAGTTTTGTTTCATAATCTTTGAAATGTGTTGTATCCTAAAAGCAATGAAATTAAACTAGTCCCTTAAAGCCTCTGTAGCGTACATTCTGTGTTCTTGCACATAACCTGTTAATCTCAGCCAGTATATTGTGTCACAGTGAATTATTTGCTCATAGGAAAGAACACAAAGTGCAAACAGCCGCATTGTGTGCTCTGGATGGAGGAAGCGTTAATATGAGCAGTCAGCAAAAACATGAAATATTCTCTCCCTCGGAAAAAAAGCAAGGACCGGTAAAAACCGAGTCCCTGCCTCTGCTTTGTTTTTTATCTCTTCGCTTTATAATTCGGGAAAATAGAATCCAAACTCCCAGCAGAGCAGAACTAATGGACAAACTAATGGACTTTGCAGAGAAATGAGGAGAATAAATCAGCTCTGTGCCTCCACGTCCACCAGGGCCTGTCATTGTTTCTACGGTACAGGATGGAGGAGCCTTGTTTTTTAGCCGAAAGCAGGTGAAGCTTCTGAGTCTGCACATTGTTAGTGTGACGTCTTAATCTACACAGAGACAGGGACAAAGCGGAGACCACGGCTCGTGACAGAAGTAACTCACTAACACGACCAGTTGTTAATTACCACGCTCAGCGTTACCAGTCCCTTTACCGTGGAGGGTGTCTTCTTCAGGTTAACGGTACCGTGTGTGTTGTGATTCATTTTAGTATTTAATGTTTGCTCAAAGGTACAATCATGGACTCTGGTGGGACGGAGAAGGACGAGTCGTTTTTCTCAATAAAGAGGGGAGAAAAAAATAAGCAGCTGCAAATAATGAAATATTTTATTGCTTTTAAAAGATCACTTGTAAAAGAGCAAGTGACACCACGGGGCTTGTTGTGACGGTGTGGTTATATTTCAAGGTTGTTTTTCTCATAAGTGGAATGTAATGTTCCACTTTGTGGGACTCACAGAGAGGCCGAGTGGAGTCTGCATGTTCTCCCTCGTTCTCCGTCTTCCTCTCACGATCACAGAACACGCAGGTTGGATTCTAAAGTGAGCGTTGGTGTCAACGTGAAGCATGAATGGCTTTTCTGTTTGTAGGTCAGCGCTGGGATTCACTGGTGACGTGTGTAGGAGGCGCTGAAGTTTATATGGGTCAGAAAATGACTCCTCATTTGTGTGATGTCACAAAGACGTTACAAACAAGACGGTAAATTATGGCATATCAGTTTTTTTCCCAGGTATCTCTGCATCACACAACCCGAAGCTCATGAAGCTTTTCACTGCAGTAAAATTGAATCTGGAATTAGTTTAAATGTGTGAAACTGCAGGAAAGTTGTATTTGATATTCCAGCGTCAAAGCCAAAGTTCCCTAAAGAGATCAACGATCAGTGAAATGATCAATGATTGAATGTTTGTAAGGGAACAGAAGCAGCAATGAGGCTGGAGAAGGAATGAGATGTCAACAGATGATTCAACACGTTTTCAACAAGTTTTCAACTTGTTCACAGGTTTAGAAGAAAAGTTGAGAATAGGAAACGCTGCAATCCCGCAACAGCGTTACTTTAGCCAGCCAGCAGGGGGCGAACAAGACGTGTTGTGATCCCGTCCGTCCTCATGATGCTTCTGTGATCAGGAAGAAAGTTGTGGCGGCTCAGTTACTTCATCTTTTCTGTCAACATCCTGACAGACCTGAGACCTTTTCACATTCTGCTTCATAGATTTTGTTTCAGCCCTTGTCTCATGCACACACACACACACGCACACACACACATACACACACACGCACACACACACACACACGCACACACACACACACACAGGCTCTTCAGTCTCATCCTCAGTTCGATGCACTGCAGGCTGGATATCTGCTGACAGATTTCAGTCCATTCAGGTCACTGGTGTCCTTTAATAGCAGCTTGTTTTTGTCCAGCGGCTCCCCGGAGGCTGCTGCTCTCTCCTCTCTAACGACGGCTGCAGCCGATATTCACATCGACATTTTATCAAGTTTATAGACGAGTCTGTCACTCGGCCTCCTCTGCTGCTGGGAGGAAATGGATGCAGTCATGTGGTAGATGACTTTGTGCTGAAGACAGTATGATCACAAACGCACATTGTGACTTCTATCGTTCATGAACTACTACTAAAAACCCACAGGGCTCAGAAGACGCAGGTGGACACGTATGTGCAGACGTTGGAATGGTTTGGAATGAGTGAAAAGTGAAAACATCAGAGTTCCTACATTTCCTCTGGGGACCTTGAACGTCTCAACAAACATTGAGCCTCAGTTCATCCGGTAGTTGAAGGATTCAGTTCCTCGTGAATGGTTCTGGTCATAAACATGAACATACATCATGAGCAGGAGTGTTTCAAGGGAATCGGAGGGCCTCGGGCAAAAGGGGCAGGGGGGGGGGGGCACAACATTAAACCAACACCCCCCTCCCCTCCAGCCACCACTAAGAAACACACGACCATTACAATCTTCAGATCTGTGAGTTTGCAAATACATAAATATTAGTCTAAGTGCAAACCTCCACCACCATTATGAAGCTTTTTGGCAGAACGATGGCAGCGTGGGGTCAATGTCGGGGGGGTTTGCAACCATGGTGCATTGCAGTCAGTCCTGTTTAACGGCACATAGAGTTTAAAGAGGTTCTCACAGAGTTGTTGGCGCTGCAGACTTCAGTAATCAACTTTTCTTCAGGTCCTTTTCTCAGCTCATGGCTCCACGCAGCTTGTGACGCTTCTGCTCGTAAGAAATGAACACATGAAAAAAATGCAGTATTTAAGAAAGTGAGAACAAACGTCTGGATCTGCCGCCTGATCTGGATCCGCACCCGAATTTTATTGGTTTCTTTCCCGACCGCGTCCTTCCACCGAGGTTGATGGATATCTGTCCAGTAGTTTTTTTCTGTAACCTTGTTGGAGATACTGAATATATTTGACAAAAGCTTTTCGTGTATTGAGTTGAATTTGAAAAGTGTCCAGAGACGGAGCACTGCAGATTTCTGAATGCACTGTCACTGTGGGTTCTCAGGAGGATGCAGAGCGAGGCCGTGTCCGATGGCCAAAGTTTCCGGGATGGAGTGTAGGGGCGGAGGAGGTCAGACAGGTACCGGGGGAGGGGGGGGCAGGGCACAGAGGGATTTATAGGCGAGGAGGAGGATTTTGTAAATGATGACAGGTCTGCAGTGAAGATGGATTAGGGGTGGGGGTGGGGGGGGGTGTGTGTGCTGCCAGGTGAGAACTTTGGCAGCTCGTGCTGGAGCCCGTCCAGGTCGATGCCGGGGAGCCCGGACAGGACTCCGTCGCCGCGGTCGAGACGGGAGGTGATGAAGTCGCGGCCGAGGGTCACAGAGTCAGAGAGTGACGAGCGGAGTCTGGAAACATCGATAACCTGCAGTCAGAGGCTCCGATCTGATGTGAAAACATCGTCTGTTCTTTGTGCAAAGTCAATTTACTCCGTTAAATATGAGCTTGGAGCAAAACTTCAGCTGCTGTGACGAATGAGTCGCTCTCTGCACACACACCGACGCGGTTTTATAAATATTAATAAGCTTTATTTATACATAGCCCTCTAAAAATGAGCGTCTGGATCATGATACATTATGAAGACAGCATAACTGAATTCCTCTAACGGACTTCACACCTCCTCATCCACACGACATCGAAAAACAAAACTCCACTCTGTTGTGATTCCTCAGCGTTGCCTGGAAATAAACCGAGGAAATGAAACACCGGACTGTGACACCTGACCTCCGGCTGAGCTCAAGGACGACGGGATGAGTATAAATGAGACATCAGTTGGCAGCATGATGAAGTGCTGTGTCATGCTGCTCACCTGCTGCAGTCTGTTAGTGCACAGGGGGACGTGACGGGACGAGTCCCGTCTGTGACAGTCCAACAAACTGACCTGATGGAAATACAAAAACAACTATGACATTTTAAAAGGCTTCGTTTATAGAAGCAGGATTCCTGAGAATCGTGACTTAATGTATTTCCTCGTTAAAAGGCCTCTTGTTGAATATAATGAAATTAGACTGATGATAAACTTAGTGGAATTATGAGGTTAAATTAAGAAGAACTCCTCCACACCTCTGCTCACGACTGAGACGACAGACGGTTAGATTCAAGGTTTAGCTTCTACCTTTGAATTATGAATTGAATTATTATAATCACCTCCAGAGGTTGTTTTTTTTTTTTTTTTGTTGGTGGATTTGTTTGTTAGCAGGACGATGCAAAAACTACAGGACGGATTCCCAGGAAACAGGAAGTTGTGTGGTGAGGGGACGAACTGGGATCTGGATCAGGGGACAGTTCCAGGAATTTTTTAATCACTCTCGTTATTATCAGATGTGACGTTTTTGACATTGTTGTTGATTTCTCAAAGAATGATGAACGGATGTTGATGACATAAGTCAGACATGATGTGGGGACTGAAAACTATGAGTGTGAGTAACTTGGTGCAGCTTAATTGAACTTAAGGGGACTGTTCATTAATCAGCTTCTGAAGTAGAAGTGGTCATGCATAGATTTAGTTCCATCCAGTTTATCACAGGTCTTTGTTTATTTCACAGTTAATACCATAGACTGTATATTAATACCCACAATTCACTGTTGATTCCTCATGAATTTAAGTGTGTTCTGACAACAAAACTATATAAACACCATCTGCACTACAGATCATATTAACTGTGTACATGTAAAATCTTTAATTTCTCTCCTCTGGGCCGTAGTGTCAGTTTCCTTTTTCTTACATGATATGATTTCATGTTTTTGCCTCTTCTGCAATAATCCAGGTAAATAATAAGTGACAGTTTTTTTAAAGAATCAAAATTCAGCATCTCACTGCACAAAGTGGAATTTGAGATAATTTCACAGGCACCAGCTGCAGATGTTAAGATAAATCAACAGAGCAGACGTCAAATATGAAACGTTTATTGACACAAGCTGTTCCATAAAACTGATTTTTTTTAAAAAAGGCTAAAAGGAAAAAACTAGGAAAAGCACATTTGACATTCAGCAGAATACGTCGTACGTGGTTCTGTTATGTTTCCTGCCACAGGCGGCAGCTTTGCAGAACATGATGTAAGTGGAGGATCCCTTTACACAGCGTCAAAGTCTGTCTGTAAACCAGAATGACCTGGAGCTGAATGTTTCCCAGAATCCCTCTGGATCCATCTTTAAAACCTAAGAGTCACTGTCAACTAAAGAGCAAACTTGTTGCGGATTATCTCTCCGCCCTCGACCTCCACCTGCTCGTAAAGCCACTTCCTGTCGCAGCGGCACTCCACTCCACACTTGCGTGAGCCGCATTCAGGGCAAGGGTAGAAACAGCCCATGCAGTCCACGTCCAGACAGTCACACATGTCCTTGCCGTTGGCGAGCAGCTGACCTTTGTTATCGTACACTCGGCTTTTGGCTGCAAGTGGCTGCCTGTGTGATCCAGAGGGAAACAAATGATATCAACGAGTCATCTCTTCACTCAGCGTCGCTTCTTGATACATTTTCTCCTCGGGGGATTTCTTTAATTACTCCCTCGCTTATTACGTCTGTTGTCACAACAATGTCCTGGATCTGTGAGAACGAAAGAGAGAGCCACACAGTGTCTCACCTGTCGGACAGCTGTTTTCCTCCGCGGCCACCTCGTCCCCCCTGTGACAACAAGCACAAGAACATGTCAGGTTATGTAATTACTATTGTTCCTGTCACGTTCAAATGACTGATCATTCAGATGGCAACGTATTCTCTACCCACAGTACAGACAGCAGCATCAGACACCTCACCCTCATTCCTCCTCTCTTGTCTCTGCGTAGATTTGCAGCTTCTCTCGCTTTGTCTTTGTCAGCTTGAGTTCCAATTTGATTAACGACAGGCGTCTCCTTTGGTACCACTCCTCGTTTACGAAGTTCAATCTGTGGAATGTTCACAGTTATCACTCGCTGCTGTTCGAGCAGAATATGGACTTTCTTTCTTATCTTGATTCAAGAGCGTGTTCTTTCATTTTGAGAGCAATATTTCACATTTAGTTTCGCTGATGCTGGAACTGAAGCACAGAATGTTTGTGCAGAAGCAGATAATGTGAGTGAAGACAAAATGTTTGAGAACATTACAAAATCTGAGCGTGAAATGAATAAATAATATTCTTAAAATAAAAGACCACACTCTCAAGAAAACCATCAGAAGAATATATAACGTTGTGAGTGTGCACCTTTGATGAATCCTGTCCGGTGAAGACAGTGGGAACTGCATCCTCTCGCAGAAACTGTTTACCGTTGTAGTCCCTGAAGCAGTCGGACCTGAAATGCTCGGAGCAGAGGCAGGTGTTGATGGTTGGGATGAAGTTTTTCATCCCCAGGCTGTGAACCCATTTGCTGGCAAGTTGAGGTTTGCTGAGCGGGAACCTGAGACACAGGAGAGGGAGGAGACGGCTTTGAACCAAGCTGCAGGATGTGAGACTTGAACCATTTCACCGGTTTGATTTTTCAGATTATAAAGCATATTTAGCATATTCAAAGATGAACTTTTGTTTCGTATGTTATTGCACTATCATTTTCTTTTGGTCTCTAGTTCACTGTCTCAAGTCAGAGAATTTATATTTAGTCCATGAAAGCAGATGAGATGCAGTTCAACTGGTTGAATCTCGGTTTTCTGACATGAGTGTTTTTAAGTCATCCGACTTAATCAAGACAATTCCATGTGATTAAATACTGTCTTCAAATTCATTATATCAGGATAGACGAGCAATATAAAGTTCAAGAGGCTCAGTGACAGGATCAGAGCTGCTGTTGCCTTCAACTTTGTGTTTTTCTAAAAACATTAAAATTGTTAATTGATAGTTAAGCTTTACGCTGATACAGTTGCTTGAGCTAATTGGATTTCTGATTAACTTGAAGCAAAAAGATTTCTATACCTTTTAAATATAAAAAGTAGAAAAACATTAAACAATAACTGCAGCACGTACAAAAACCTCAGCACCTTACTACGCCAGCAAGTATCAAAGCTAGCTAAACACTTTGCATTGCAGTCTTTTGCTCGTTGATTGATTCGCCTTCTCCTCTTGCAGGTGACTCCATGTTCTCGGGTGTTCTTGGAGTTTTCTTGCACCCGGCATGTTTACGATCTAGCCACAGATGTTCAGTGAACTTCGGGTCAAATCAGGGAAAACCCTGCGTGCGGTTCCATTTAGTTTTTCTTGAAGTACTTGAAGATTTTGAGATTAGATTTGGATCATTGTCTAAACTGACCACAGGATATTTGTGTCCGGAATTAGCAGATTTTTCCTGTTCCACAGACTGACACTCATCTGATCTAAAGCGGGGGAGACGATACTAAAACCGGGGAAACACACAAGTCGTTGTATGATGTCAAATTGTTGGGTGGTGGCTGGAAGTACAGGTTTATTATAGCTAAGAGAATACCCGCTAACGTTAGCTCTGGTAAGTTGCACCAGAGTTTTTAATGGAATCGGGTTATAAAGATGCTAATGAGACTAAAAACACTGCACCGCTAAAGAGGACGTGACGTATTTATAAGTGATTTAAACCCAAAGTCAACCGTGTTTGTTTTCTACGCTGCGTTTTGTCACATTAGCATTAAAGCTAACGTGAAGCTTCCGCTCCTCCGGTGTAAACTTACCTGTAAAATCGTATTTCCGACCCTTTCACGAACTTATTGTTGCATCCGGTGGCCGCACAGATGACGGGCATTGTGTCGTTTCCGGTAAAAAATAAAAAACAACTATGCGATTATGTTGAAAAGTCAAAAATGCGCAAGAAGAAAAAAAAAACCTCAACCATCTGGTGTTTGTGATTGTTTTCCTCAGGCTTCTTCCTCGGTGGAAATAAAATGTACATCCGGTCTAACTTCCCGTGTTGCCTGGGGAGCGCGTGCCCCCTAGCGGCGGCTCAGATAGTTATTCAGAGAGAGACAGGAGGTGGAGATAAATTATGTTGTTCTGTTCTTAAAGGAAAAGTAATAATAGTAAATATACATTTTATTATTTATATCTGCCTTTCACAGCACTCAGGGTCACCTTACCAAAAAAAATATATAACTGTGAATAAAACATGATGTAGTTTGGCCAAATGGAAAACCACCAGACTGGACAGATGATTTAAGTGGAACTTTCTCAATAATGTCTGACAAAGTGTTGGAATCTGCAAAGTTTTATTTAGGAGCATGTATTTAAAGTTTTGTTTGAAGATCACCGAGAAAAACAAAAGGGCCCAAATAACAGAGTTACACTTGAGAGAAGAGAATATAAAAAATTACATATATATATATATATAAGCTGGACATTGAATGTTTGTGTTCCTGAACGTCACCACTCGCACGCACCCCTGCTACCTGTAAGACTAGTGGCAGGGCAGAGAATCATTAATTACCCCTGCTGCCTGTAAGACTAGTGGCAGGGCAGAGCCGTCATTCTTTACCTTCCTACCTGTAAGACTAGTGGCAGGGCACAGCAGTATTCTTTACCCTGCTGCCTGTAAGACCTTCCCCAGGGCAGAGCAGCTGCTGTGCCTCAGACCGGGGCCGCTGGATCACATGATGGATGTACGCTGGTTAGCATAGCGAGCTAACGCGCTAGCGTCGGTTGTCAGAGCCGCTGTCATCGCGAACCGCGGCCGGAGACGGAGCCGCCCTCACCGGATCAGCAACTGCGTGAAAACTCCGGTAAATCGACCCGCTGCACCGTCTCCCGTCGTGCTAACGGCGCGTCGGCTAAGCTAAGCCGAGCTCCGGTTGTAAACAGGGAGTTCCTCCGGAGTGGCGGGTGGGCTGAGCTAACGCTAACAATATCGGCCTTGTTCGGACTGAGCATGAAGCTAATCTCAGCTAATCTGTTGTCATGTCTCCATCACTGCTGCGTTCAAACCCACTTCAGCACTAGCACAAGTTTAAGCTAGCTGCGGGTTTGCCCCCCCCCCCCCCCCCCCCCCCCCCCCCGGCTAACTAGCAGGACTTCTAACTAACCAACTAACTAAGTTGGCCAGTGATGGTCGCGGCTCCGTGGTGTAAACAGCCACTAAACCATTTCAACAAGTGTCGGCTTGTTGAACATGAAACTCGTCACGTGGGGTCAAAGTCGCTGTTTGACTCTTTTCACCGTCAACAAAGTTAACACGGCTGCGACATGACGCTGTTAGCCTGTTGACAACAACAAGCACCCGGTAGCTAACTCTGGAGGCTAATGTCTCCAGACAAAGGGCTGAGACAGTCTGATTCCTAAATCTCTGTCTTTATCCCTGGTTGTTGTCTGTGTGTCCCTGAACGTCCCTGATCCACCCACACCTGTGTCTTTAATGCACTTGTTGGGTCAGATCTCCTCCATGCTGCTGATCACACCTGCCACAGTGTGAGTCACAGTGGATCACTTTGTCTTTTAACATTCTTCATGAGCCGGAGGTGTCTCCACCCTGTGTCCCCGACCTGTGTCTCCACCCTGTGTCTCCACCCTGTGTCTCCGACCTGTGTCTCCACCCTGTGTCYCCGMCCTGTGTCTCCRMCCTGTGTCTCCACCCTGTGTCTCCGACCTGTGTCTCCACCCTGTGTCTCCACCCTGAGCAGAGGAACTGTGAGAAGAAGTGAAAACACAGGGTGGGTCCTCTGGGCCTTGAGGCACTGGACCGACCACTTCTTCTTCCATCGCTGTTTCACTCGTGGGAACGGTCACTGTGGAGCCGGCGACTCCTGAAACCACTGACTCTTTGCTTTCACACCGACTTGTTGCTGAGTGGGTTTGTCCGGTTTTGCTTCACCGGGGAGAGTCGCATCCGCCGAGACTCTGAGAAAAGGACATTTCCCGCTCGCTTGTGCTGACTGCAGTTGTGCTATCAGGTGTACCGAGCGGGAAGTAGTACTCGTTTTTCACAAACGCTGCGTCAGCCCTGAGCACGGTGTCCGACAGTGACGGTAAATGTCACTGATGCAATAGTTTCAGGGTTTTTTTTAAATTTTCCTCAGAACAACGGAAACCATGTTTGTGATTAACATATTCATGTTTGGTGGCTTTGTCACAGAGCCTGGTGTCAGAACAGTGAGTCACATACTAGCTGGTACCAGACCAGATGGATTCTGATGCTGGTTGTCGTAACATCTCTAGTCACCACTTCCTGTCTCTGTCCTGATTGATCAGTTCAGAATCAGAAGTGCTTCATTAATCCCCGTAGGGAAATTAAAAGTGAGTGATCGTTTCACTGGATAAATTATCATTGGTCGATTCGTTACGTTCGCTCCTGATAATCTAATAAGCAGTGTGATTTGGGGTGTCAACAAATAAAATGGTTATCATAAAGAATGTTTAATTAGTTTTATGCAACAAGAACCCATCCTGTTCCGGTTTTCATACTTAGAGGATGAAGTTTCGTGCTGACTGGAAAGTTATATTCAGCTGCAGAAGGTTGTAATGAAGCGTAATGGTTTTATCAACATAGTAGATGCATACTGAACACAACATGTCATTGGTGTGTGTGTGTGTGTGAGTAATGAAACCAGGTTGTAAAGTGTAAAATAGAATCAGTGCCTTTGGTTTTATTCTGTGTTTGATTGATTTTTGTTGGTGCTTTCACTTCCAGTCATCTATGAAAACATGCTCATGGACAAAGGTGACTGACTGATAAGATGCGGGGGACATTGGACTGGAACAGAGGGATCAGGGTGGGGATGACATTAGGTCACAGGAAGAGTAGAAATGTTTTACAACCTCAGACAATCTGAATGCACCCAATAAAAAAAACTTGATACCTTTTTTGATGAGCAGACCATAAGCAACGAACCGCAGCTTCAGAAAGATCAAAACCCCGACAAAAACTTTCCCTCTGCGTTGCTGACGTGACGGTGGACGTATTGATCTGTAGTTTCTCAACATGTGAATATGAACATCCGTCTTTTGCTGTTAAATGATTGATGCATTCAATCTAGATGTAGTATTGTTTTTGTGATTTTTTTTTTTCCCCTCTCACATGCTCTGTGACATTTCTGTGAGAAAGGCTTCGTGGTGCTGGGAGTATTTCGTCATATTCACTGGAGCACGATAGTGATTTTATTTTTAAAACAAGTGCAGAAACGTCAGGGGTCATTCTGAGGTGTCGGTGTGGTATGAGGCTGTTCTTGGTAAAATCCGCTGCCTAAATACTCAAAGTGAAAAAGGCTGGAACACCACAGCCCTGTGGGGAGTTAGGAGCCATGGATGACCAATAGTAACCTCTTGTGTTTCCTCTTTCACCCCCCCCCCCCTCCTCTCTGTGTCTGTTTTCCCTCCTGTCTCCCATAGGGCATAGTGGAAAGAGAGTTGTCTTCTTTTCTACCCTCACTCTCTTCAAGATATCAAGTCGTTAAACTTCAGCCCATTGAGTCACAGAGTGGTTTTGGCATCGAGCCTCGTCACGCAAGTGAGTCAGTCGTCTGTCAGCGCGGGGACATTGACAGACTGAGGTTGTGGACTCGCGTGGGGAAGATGCATCGACGGTAAATAAGACATCGACTTCAGAGGTAAGATCAGTGGAAATCGATGCCTGTCACAGTCACTGGAGCAGATTCATTGGATCTGAGGGTTTAGTGTAGATATGTGGTCCTTCTGGCTTTATTCATGTGTTGACTGATGTTATCTAGAGCAAGAAAACTTTTTCATTTCAGTTGTGCTAAGTGGTGAAATATAGACTTTTACAGAAATTCTTATTAGAATTTCTTTTTTTTTTTCTGTCAGCAAAATTAGCAACGTGACGGCTCAATTCTGACAATTACATTTTAAACATATAGAGAATTAGTCGTTATCCTCCTTTTCCTCATTTTCTAATAACACACAATAATAATTGCTGTCATTGAAAAATGAAACTTTACTACGTAAAGACTGCAACAATAACTTCTCAATCACTTTCTTAACTTTGCAAATTCAAAAGTTTCATGAATTTCTCAGAAAATCCCGCGTTTGTAGAATATGGGGCAGATTATTATTTCATACTTAATAAGAGGTGGAGAGACATGTGTAGGATTGTTGGGCGGAGGTATACGCTCTCTCGAATAAGTGCTCTTCTACTTTATCACATGAAAACCGTGTTAGGCTTGGAAAATTGCTGCCGTTGCCACTTTAGCTTTTTCCTTCAATGTTTAATTATGAGTTTTCATTTAAATTAGTCGTCAACATAGTCTGACCACAGTTTATGGAATTTGAAACAGACGTTTGTTGTTTCCTTCATTCTTTGAAATGCATAGAAATCCAGTTGTGGAGTAAATACTACTACTACTACTACTACTACT